GGGGTGGGGGGCGAGGCAGGTGCACGAGCTGGTCGAGCTGGCGGGTCCTTCTTCACGCACTTCGCAGTGCGCGTGTGCCGCAGCTCATCGCGACCTGTCAAGTTTCAATACACCATTTCGATGGTAGGGTGAGGGGGGAGGAGAGGGTAGGGGGGCTGAAAACCTACATTGCGTGCTACATTTTCACTGAACCCGAAAATAGCAAATTTTGACTCCGTAGCGCAACGGAACAAGTCGACCGTTGTTGCGCTACGAATAAGTCAAAATTTCCAAACAGTTAGAAAGAAACCTCAACCACTGTCGAAAAGGTTTATTCACGCTTTGACGGCCCTCCTACCCGAAACCAAAGGGAGAAAAATATCACACAATGAAGAAATAATTCCCTTTTTTTCCTGCCGAATTCATAGGAGCTGGGAGACGTCAAGTCATGGAAGGACGTGTGACGTGTTGCCTCTCCCTCCTCTCTCTCTCTCTCTCTCTCTCTCTCTCTCTCTCTCTCTCTCTCTCTCTCTCTCTCCACGATCTCGTTCGACTACGGGCGAAATGCATAATCATCCCCGCATCCCGCCCGTGCCTCTTGCTCCTCTCCCCTCCGGAGCGGCTGGCTGCGTGCTGCTCGCGGCCCCGGCCGCCAGTTGCTCGCCGGACTCTCTCGGGGTAGCACGCCCCCCGCGCCGCACCGTGCCGCACCGGCCGCACCGCCCACCCAGCGAGGAGCGCGCGTCGCGCAGCCCGACGTCAACACCCACGTGTTGCCCGACCGAGCCCGCCGCGCGCGTAGCGTGTACGGTGCGCTGATGTTGGATACCGAGCAGGAGTGAGCACAACAACCCCTCCCCGATGCTGATCGGCCCCTCCGAGGTGAGAGCGCCGGTGTGTTACACCGGGTGGAGTGGGGTGGGGGAGCATTGGATGATAAGCGAATTTGCCACCAGGTGTTGATGATGGTGGATCGTATGAAATGAACTCCTGGAAAAATGTTTACAGGAGAAACTGAAAAAACAAAACAAAAAAAAAAACAACAAACATTTCTATTTTTAAAAAGGCTTAAATATAACGAAAGCCTTTCGAGAAGTCGCGAGGTTTTCTTGTCAAGTACATTTTGGTACTCGACTCTTATGCATTTCGTTGTACATTTTGATTTTGCATATTTAAGCAGCAGTTATGCACAAACTTTTCGAGCATGATTATTATGCAAAAGCATGCTCGCAGTATGCACACATTTTCTTGTAGGTACGTACAATTTCTACATAGTTGTTCGTTCAAATCGTTCAAATTACAAGTTGCTAATTTTACTGCCTATACCAAAAAGCAAATGAAAAAGAATTATGATGGCATTAACTGTCACAAAGTAATAAAACTTTGTTTTAGAGTGGTATACAGTAGTCGTGTGGAAGTTACAGTTCGGGCAGTAATGATTGGAAACAATTAGTGGCGCTTTGGCCACGTCTGGCTGCGCCGAGGCAGAATTAAACTCTCTCTCTCTCTATATATACATATATATACACTATACTACTGAGGGGGAGCGCTGGCCGTTTGGCCGAAGGGGGCGCTGCGGGTGAGGCGGGGAAGCAGTGGTGGGGAAGCTGTCCACAGATTATTGCAAATGATTAATGGGGGCTTCATAACCCCCTCCCCCCTCCTCTCCCCCAACCTGGATCGCCCCTACTCTACCGCAGGCATGTAGCTCAGCCAGCAGACGTAATTGAGGTCGCTCGGAATGAAGATATGGGGCAGAGGCAAGCCGGTTTTTTACTCGGATAGGGAGAAAGAAAACACACCACCTCAATAAAACTTTAGGCTGAAGACTAATTTGATAAAAAGGGTGGGATGTAGTATAACACGTGATGATAGTATGCCGCCGTGGTTCAAACCCTCATCACAAAGTAGGGTCGCTGGACGAACGCAGAATTTTAAGCAGAGTCAGATGATGGCTTCAAACTTTCGAAAAGAAAAAACAGAAAAATCTAATGCGTTTATCACTCGTAGTGCCATTGTTTTTGTGAGTGATAACAAGTAGTAGTCTGGCGTACATCGCGAAAGTAGTAGTAAATGACGAGATGGGTGAAAACTTTTCTTGTATTTTTGCCATTATATCAATAACCTCCCTCAGCACTATACACCCCGTCTGAATGACATAACTTTGCTTCGGCGCTCTTCAATTACTCACCCGCGCACAAAAGAGCTGCGCCGGAGATTCACCGTGGCGTGGGACGGGGTGGCGTGGCGTGGTGTAGCACGGCGTGGCAGGGGTGGCAGGGCGTGGCGTAGGGCGGGGTGGAGAAGACCTCCATCCTTCATGTTTTTTTGTGTCCCTGCCTGGTGCGCGCCACTGTCCAGCCGGCCGGGCAGCGCCTATTACCACGCCACGCGGGCTGCGATGTCCTGTCGAGTCGACGTCGTCGTCGTCGAGCTTGCCATCATCACGCAGGCCGAAGATTGCGAAAAAAAGCGTGACTGCAAAGTAGAGAAGGCGGAAGGGCGCGCTGTGTGGCGCGAGCACCATAACGAACCTTGTCCCCGGGGAGATCGCGCGGGTCCAGGTTCGGGTTCGGGGGAGGGTCGCGTCCGCGCCCCATACCTTCTTGCTTTGTGCCGCGGTCGCTGTCGCGCCATCGTGACTATCCCCCATTATTGGACGTGGGACGGATGGACCCTCACACGGTCCGCTTTGCGTGCCCGGGGCCGCTGGCGCTCTTCGCCCTCATTAGCGCGATGTTATGCAAACCCCATTTTTACCCGTCTACCTAAGGGCCCGGGTCCGTTTGTTATCTCTGGCGTATAAAAAAAACAAACAACAGCGACAGCCCTTGTCCCGTTCTTCTTTAGATTTTTAACTGTGTTTACTCTCTCCCTCGCTGCTGCTGTCCGTCTTGTGTCACTAGCCCGACGTTGCGCGTGCATCACTCTCTCTTGGAATTTCAAAGCAGTTCCCTCCCCTCTCTCCCTTCCCTCTTGCGTCCAGCGGAGTGAAGGGTTTCGGCGCTGTATATACGGTGG